GAGCAGACTCGCGTACCAATGGGTAATCTGATTCGTAACGATTGTATCCAACGTTAGTCTTTTTGAATCAAGACTTTCAAACAATTAATTGAATCTCAGTTGCGAATGAAATTTACAATTGTTTATACTTTGGATATATTAATGATAATTGAGAAATTAATATAACTATACTGTTTTTGAGAAAATAAAATCGAATGAGAGTAAAATGTATTCTCTATTCTTCTTCATTGGATGAACATTCTTCGAAGTTGAACTGGTGAAAAAGGATCAATCAACATTAAAATTTACACGAATGGGCGAAGAAAAAATAAAAAATTATTCCAGAATTCCTGTGTTCAGATTACACATATTCATGAAGGAACGAATGAAAAGTCGAAAGAAACTGTTCCAAGAAATCACGAATCTTTTTATAAAAATCCATACTTGAAATTTTGTTTTGAAAACAAATAATAGAATCTAGAATACGATTTATCGAGATGACAAAGAATTGTTCTAGTTGGAAGTTGAAAAGTTGCTGGGCCATCAAATCAACGGCCAAATTTCGTGGAAATGTCTCAACTTATCTTCTGGAACATCAAGTAACGATCAGCGGAGGTCCCTTACAAGTGGAAGTTGTGGCTAAGTTTATTCATTCTATTTCGGAATCCAGAGCGAGAAGAGGTAATCTCATACGCGGAGGATTAATCAGTCTCACGATAAGAAAAGGCAGGAATAACAAAAGGATCGATGGGAAAGGAATTTCCAAGCTGATTTTTCGCTTGAAAAGACGCGCCATGTAAGATAATAAAAAGAATGTAGAGTACAAAAAAAATAAGCAAAGAAATTAGTTCGCGTGCTTTTCTAGATCTCATTCTTACATGCTTATGTAACTTTGCAATAAATTAGATAATTTTAAGGTCAACAATTACATTATTTATGCTTTCGCATGTTTGAAAAAAAGGAACTCTTATTATGAATAATGGTTCTAGTTCCTTGAACATTGACAGAACCTAATGACTTAATATTTGTAGAATAGCGATAGGTTGCAGTGTCAATTATTACCATGTTTGCTTTCATTGTGCTTAATGTTGTTAATTCTACATGGACCGCAATCTTTTATACTTTGATGAATTGCGTTGATGAATATAAAAGTACTGGGGTATTTAATGGCGTATACATATCTTGAATATATACTAATTAAAATAGAGATAAAAAATTAAAAAAACAAGTATTCAATTATATTAAAAAGAATTCTATTATTTTTACAGATCTCCTCAAAGTCGCTCTACTATAAGTGGCAATACTTCACCAGTAGTAGCACCTTTGGCACTTTCAGTTTCCAATCCAGGTATCGTACCATTAGTTCCTGCTTCTGATGCTGTGAAGGAAAACGTGGGAACAGCACCTGCTTTACCATCGCCTGCGGCAATTTTACCAGATCAATCTTGTATCGAAACTGAAGTTAGTATTTATAAAAAAATTACAATTTAAATTACAAAATTAAATTACAATTTAAGCGTTAAAATTAAAATTCATAAAAATATAATTTGTACAGAGATCATCATGTTTGGTTCAATTGTCACCTGATGCAAGTGCAGCACAGACAACAACGTGGCTTCGTGCTAGTCGCTTCAACGCATTTGAATCCACATTCGCAAGCTTCTCTGCTTCAGATATTTTACGACTCTCTAGGGATGATTTAATTCAAATCTGTGGTCTGGCCGATGGGATCCGATTGTTCAATGCGCTGCATTCAAAGGCGCCAACCCCAAAACTTACCCTCTATTTCTCGCTGGAAGACAACAGTTCACTTTGGAGAGTCGCCTACTTGGACAGTCTGACCAGTAGTGCCTTGATAAATAAGTTACTGAACACCTTAAGTTTATCTCATGATCGACTCCATTCTGTTCTCTTTCTTGGTCCTCAGGGTATCCATGTGTTAGTTACCGATGAATTGGTAGCAAACATGAAAGACGAAAGCATGTATTTCGTTGAAACTATCAAAGGTAATGTAAAAAATAGAAAATTGCATTAAAATTTTTATTACTTCATTTTGTTAATCAATAATTTTAATAAATAATTTTTATTCTGTTATAGATAATGCGAGCGAACGCTACAAATTGCTTCTGAAACCTTCGTCGCGTTCCTAAAAGATACAACTACTGATAAATTAATTGCAAAATTATGTAGTAGATCTTCCACATATCCCAAATTTGCCAAACGAATCTGTGATTCGATAAAGAATTTGTTACGTAGTAAGATAAAAACAACTTATTGCGTAATTAAAAATTTGTCGATTTTTTTTTTTAAATTACAACGATATTATCAGAAAATATTTCTGAATTATTTATTCATAATAGTTCGTAAATTATGTAGTTTTTAATTAATTTGAGATAATTATTTTATACAATCAGGTAAAAGGAATATCGAAGAAATATCGAAGAATAGGCCTTATTAATAAAAAAACGAGGAAATCTACCCATATTTTATATGCAATACTCATTAAAAGATTCCAATATAGTTATTTTCAGGAAAATTGATATTTCTAAATGAACATGTTATTTTCAGCATTAAAAATATATATACATTTATATGTGTGTCACATATATATGTATATATATATATA